AATAATTAGTACATATCTTGGAATTTTATTTCTTCACAAATAATTGGAACTAAATACTAATACATTAAGTGTAAAAAATATTCTATAATATTAAACCCGTGTAAAATTCTCTCATATCATTATCTTTAATTAGCCATTATTATTTAGACATCAGCTTTATGTAGCTCAAAGCAATGCTTTCCAATAGAACTTTCTGCGATGATGGAAATGTTTTATGTCTGCATTGTTTAAAACAGTAGTCTTGAGCCACGTGAGGTAATTGAACACTTAAAATGTAACTAATGAGACTGAGGAGATGATGAGATGTTTTATTTTGTTGAATCATAATTAATATAAATTTAAATAGCCTCCTGTGACCAGTGCCTATAGTAATGGACAGATCAAGCTCAGATGATTAAAACAGTGATAGCTGCAGTTTGAGTGGGCCAATCTTAATGTGAGAGGCCTGGCTTGCTAGGTCAACCTGAACAACACCTGGTCAGCTCACGGTGATAAAGGAGCCTGCAGAGTTTTCTGAACAATGTTTCCAGCTCTGGGCCAGGGATGAGCCAGATTAGAAGTGTGTCACAGAAGAGAGGTGTAGGACATGGAATTATGATAAGTTTGTCTTGGGAGAAGATCATTTGGAGGGGATGTGATGGGGGAAATTGGAATCGTGGGACTAGGTGACCACGAATTTCCAAATTGGTAACATTCACATGGGATTTGCAGAGGGAAGCAACATGTTCCACAGTTGCTGGAGATTTAATAGAGGAATTAAGATCATTGTTAGATTAGCTGATCCTTCATCATGTGGTTTAATCACATGATCTTTCAGGGGGGGAGTACTTTCCATAACTGTGCCTTGTTCCATCTTAGAAGATGCTTCAAAGATCGGAGACACGGTGCTTGTCTTCTATGGGAGCTAATTTATACGGGACCTAGAGAAATTTTTTAAAAACATAGAGTTTAAAGTGGAATGTACACTTTGATTCCTTTATAAAACAAGAATTTTGGACAAAAGAAGGATTGGGATGACACGAATAATAATAGTAACATTCTCCTTAGACTCTGCCAGACACCGTGGTACATGCTTAACCTCTGTTTTCTCATTTCGTCTCATGATGCGCCTGAGGGTAGGTGTTATTCAGCTCCACTTATAGATGAAGAGACTGGGGCCCCGAGGAGTTGGAGGTAGTCAGCATCACCAGGTCTGCAAGGGCAGAGCCGGACTGAATCCCAGAGCGCCAGGACCCTTCGCCCTTCCTCTGTCCTATTACCCCTTGTGAACAGATATTTCCAAGCTTCTGTTGTGTTTGTTTTTCAGCATTTTCTGTTTTCAAACTTATAAATTAGTCTTTAAGAGAAATAATTTATAAAAGGAGGCTGAGTGTATCAGGCAAAAGTGAAGTAGGCAGCTGATATCTGAGGGGTTCCAGACTATGAAGGCAAGACTTTCTTTGTGAGAACAATTCATCAAATGTTAGGATTAGTCTACTCATTGCCAGCCTCCTTCTCATCCTATTTGAAAAGTTGGAATTGTATCCTCACTATATGCAAGGCATAGTCTTAGGTTCTAGGATTCTGTGGCAAAGAATTCAGACACAATGCCTGCTTTTATGAGACTCGTCATCTAGAGAGAGAAAATACTAAGTTAAACAATTACAGTACAGTGTGATAAACTTAAAGTAGAGCCAAGATATAGTGCTGTTAAAGGACAAAGAGAGTGACCCATTCCATCGGGGCTGAATTGATGAAGCTTCCCTGGAGATTTTTATTTAACATGAAACTTGAAGCATGAGTGGAGCTCACTGGGAAAGTGGGAGAAAGACATTCCGGGCAGAGAGCAGATCTAGAGTTAGAGCATAGAGAGAGAGGTGCATGGGGCCTTGGAGAGAGACCAAGTGGAGTGAGGCAGGTTTTTAAGTGTGAAAGGGAATGAGGAGTAATGAGGCCTATGTTGAAAGTAGGGGGAAGAAAATCAATGGAAAAATTCAGTGGAAACAGGAAAATGTGAAAATCCACTCAGCAAAAGTGAATCCAGCAACCCAAGTTGGCAATCCCTTCGGAAGAAGGCATCCCAAGCCTTGGGTTTATATTCCAGCTACGCTATTGACCGGTTGGCTAATGCTGAGCATATGACATTAACTCTATGATCCTCAATTTCCTTGTCTGTAAACTGGATATTATGGTTGCTGTGAGGACCAAGCGAGATGAAGAATGTCAGGGCTAAAATGTTAGTTCACATTTGAAAAGTTGGAAGCCCTTGACAACACTCCTCAGAGCCCAGGTTTCATGGAAGACTGTGACAAGGTCTGCCTGGGCTGATCTGTTCTCCATTCCAGGTCACCATAGGAACCTCAACACTGCACTTTCTAGGAACAAGATAAGCATTTTTCTCAAGTCCTCACTGGCACTGCAATCTCCTACCTCACCTGATCTTCCTAGCCAGCATGAGGGTCTCCAGAGTAGTCACGGTCAGTTCTGCAGAGGACAGGCTGCAGGGCCAGGGACAGCAAACACTCTGATACATGCTTCTAGTAGATATCATAGTTAATGCGATACGTCAGAGGGGGTAGGCTTAGCCGACCCTACCAGAAGATAGCAGGATGGGGGTGCCCGTTTCCATAGAAGACATACTCAGGTTTATGGCAATGTTTTTCTGCCTGTTCAAGGTGAAGTCCTGCCTCTTTGGGCAATGCATTGGGATGAGGTTTACTAAGGCTTATATACCCACAGCCATGTGACCCTGCAGTACTGCAACAAAAATACCTGATATTGTTGCCCCAGCCACCTTTAGTTAGCCTTTTACCTGGATATAACACCTGGGTTCTTACTATGAGCTCAGTGTCTTCATGCTGCCTGGGCCCTGGATTATGTAACAATGCTAATGCATTGATTGATGGCCAGTATATGGCCTGAGCAGTTAATTATGTACAAGGTGCAGAGGAAGATAGCATGACTGACTCCAGGGCCTGAGCAAGGGTGTAAGTGGTGTTCATGCACTTAAACTCGTCCACTGGCCTCCACTTGCTACCATTTATTGAGCTCCTTTGTACAAGGTTAATAAAAGAACTGTCTAAGCTGAAATAACTTGGAAACTCCGGTGACATCAGAGGGACTGTTAGAAGACTCAAAGCTCCTCATTTTTTCCCAAACAGTCTGCAACAAAATCCACCAAGTTCTGAATAGTAGCTTTGATTTGGTGGTGGAGTTACAAATTACTCTGCTTTGCTCACCTTTCATGTAACACTGGTAAAGTAACAGTGGTAAAATAATAAAGATGATCCCTTTTTTTTAAAGAGGAAAAATCTGGAACCCGGAAGACTGAGTTGCTGGCAGCTTCTGACCTTTGCAGAGTCTTTGCAACCACCAACTTCTTCCATTCCACATGGCCTCATGTAATCCTCACATACCCAAGGCACAGATGTCCTCTTCACCTCTCACATGAGGAAGCCAATGGTCTCAGAGATGCAGAGGGAGCTGACCAAGGCCACACAGAATGTGAAGGACTCAGCTCGACTCACTGCTGAGGGAGTTGTCAAGCTGCAAGGTGGCACAGCCTGTTCCCTGGCAAAGGCTCAGATCTGAGTACCTTGTATTCCCCCTGGGCCATGACTCAGCCTCCTTATGTCGCTCTGTGTTTCAGAACTCACCCCGGACCACATCCTCCCCCAGGGAGTGAGAACATAGCCCCAGGAGGGGAATAGCAGAGGAGGGCATGATCTGGATAACCAAAGGCTACTCTGACATTGTGGGAATATTGGACCTAGAGAGCCTAGGGGAGGAAAACTGGGAAAACTCACACCAGGAATGCCAGGCCAAACCCCAGTCCTTACCAAATGCTCTGGGAAACCTGCCTCAGTTCCCAGCCATGAAGTTTCTCAAGGCCCTGCGTTTGATTCTGTAGAAGAAAAATATTTTCAAATATTATCTGGTGAAGTTTTGTTCTTAGAGATATAATTTTTTATTTTCCATTACTTCCATCATTAAAACGAGACTAGGAAGCTAAGTTCTCTTGCCATAGGGAAAGCAGAACCTCAAAGAACCCCGTGACTATAGAGTCATACTTATGTTTCTGCATTCCGATGTAGAGCCTTGAAAGATGTGGAGTTTAATTGCAAGGGCCAGTCTCTTGAGAGAGAAGTGGTTGCCTAATTGCTAAAATTTACTGAGTAATTACTATGTGGCAAGCAATGTTTTTAGAGCTTGCACGGGTTATGTTTTTTAATCTCGCTCTTATTGTTCCGTCTTAAAGATGAGAAAGCTGATGCCCAGACAGAGGTTGATTAACTTGTCTGAGGTCACTCAGCTAAGAAGTGGGAGAGCCAAGATTTGAGTCCAGATATCCGGCTCTGGGCTCATACTTAATCACTCTGTACCTTGTCTCATGTGCTCATCGTGCTCAGGGCAGGGAATATAGCTGAGAACAAGACAGTTTAGAAGCTCACTGGTTGACTCTCCTGCCTTTGATCTTTTGAGACGTCATTTAAGCCTTATAACAATCTTGCACGGCTGAAAAAAAGAGTCTTATTTTATGCATGAGAAAAAGAAAGGAAAAAACGGGGAATTGTCTTACTCAAGGTCAAAGAAAGACATAGTGCAAGATAGGATTAGAAACCAGATGTCTCATCAGCCCTTTCTCTGCTCTGGGAGCGCTCTTCATTCAGCAGACTTGGGGCCAGTGCTAACACCTGGGCAATTAACCAAAGCTTCCCTTAGGTTGGAGGATCTCCAGAGCCCGGGAACACTGGGGGCCAAAGGATGGTGTTTGGAGAATGAGGGCAAGCAAAAACAGAACAAATTTGCTTTGGGACTTTGGTGATACTTGCAGCCCCAGGTATAGTATATCAGGCCCCAGGACACAGGTGGATTCTGGGAAAGGGCAGTGGATGGATGGGTTTGTGGGTGTGTTCAGAGAGGCAGATTCAGAGACTCACAGATGTGGTGATGGGGAGAGGAGGCTTATATAGTTCAGGAGTAGAGGGAGCCTCTTTTAATCAGGACATTTACGGAAATTATTCTCGGTAAAGAGAAGGACAGAGAGAAAAAGAGATTTGTTGTAGTGGCTGGTAAGAGACTCTTCTGTTGAGCTCCCACTAGCAGCTCCGGGGTGAGGACTGGGCATGAGAAACCCCTTACCTTTTGCGTTTTACATTTTTGTTTAATGTACAGACTATCCCACAGAAGGCAGAACAGCACTGAAGTCCTTTTTGGCAATCTTCCTGCAATGTACAAAATTGAGTACAGTTTTCAGGGTCCGATCTGCAGGGTGGAGGTTCCAAGACATACCCTGGAATACAGAACAGGAAAGAGAAGAGCCTAAAACAGCAGGCTGGAGTCACATTCAGAACTCCAAAAGCCCAAGAAACTGCCAGGAAACCAGCCACCCTGATCTCCCTTGTATGGTCTCAGGGAGGTGGAATAAGATTTTGTCCTTAGCTCCTGCCTTCCTCTGAGTTCTCAGCAGGAAAACCAGGACTTGGATATTTGACCAAAGACAGATTTCAGCAGAACACTGTACCCCCTGGTCATTCACTATCCTTGCAGATCAGATGCCAAGTCCCCATAGACCCTGCTTGAGTCCAGTTCAAGGGAATGAATGGTGTGTGTTGTGAGCAAGAGAGGGGTGTATAGGTCCATTTGCACTGACCCATTGTGTAGTCTCAAGCAAGTCGTACAGCCTTTCACTAAAACTATAGTTTATCATAGGGTCAACCTAACGTGTTATTTGTGTATAGGAAGAATGAGTGGAAGGGAAGATTTTGGGAAAAGATGAAGACCACACAGTACACTGAAGGTACTAGCATCAGAATGCTGGAACCCAAATCACAAATGAGTTCTGGGGGTGACTTCTTTCAGGTGGAGAAGGGTGGGTATTTCAGAATGGGGTGCAAAGATCAGCTTCTCCTTCTTCCCAGGTCTCTACTGATCAGGAGGCCAGAGCACCAGGATGCCCCCAGTTTCTGCTGTTAGAGAAGAATAAGCATTTTCATGCTAACATCCCATTCCCTCCATCCCCCAGGACTCAGGTCAAAGCCAAGACTACCTCCACCGGGAGATCCTGCCCCAAGGCTCCAAACTCACAATGTTCTCTCTGTTCCTGAACTCCAAGGCATTAAGGATGGGCCCCAGTAACCCCTTTATCTAAGCCCAGCCAGGCTCTAATTTTTGAACCTTCTGTCTTCCCCTTTCTTTGGGGCAAATGTCGTAGGTGGAGCGTTTTATAAGCCCCTGTTGATTTCTTGCTCTGCAAGTATTTGCAATTAGAAGGGGGTCTGTAGAATATCATGCTGATCTGAAAGGAATAAATGATGAATGAAGTTGGGGCTATAATTGTAATAGCAAACAGCACCAGAGATGGGGTGAAAGAAGCCAAGGCCCAAACCGTTGACAATTTGGCAGAGACCGGTACCCAGCACTCACCCTGGGCCTTCCAGTCATCCTATAGCTCACCGGGTCAGGGCAAGAAATTGGAACTGGTCTCCACTTTGGAGAGCTTGGGGCTCAATGGAACAGTATGGGGAAGGAGTCCTGAGCCAGGGATCTCAGAGAGGTTGACCTTCTCAAATTTTGCCTCCTCTTCTGGGTATCTGGTCCCAATCTTGCTCACAACACTTACCAGTCTTTCAGAAAGTCTCTCCTCAAATTTTAGTCCTTGATTCTCCAATCAACTGTGCCCTGGATACCCCCATTCTCTTGCAGCTTGCTTAGCCTCTCTCATTCTTACAAACCTGCAGCCCTCTCGGAGTCCCCTAAAACAGGACCTTGTATCCCTAGACACGTGAGGTGCCACACATATCCCTCTTCTGAGCCCCCAAAATTCTGAAGATGCTCCCCCCACAGAAGAGTACAGGTATGGTGAATAAGAGTTCATTTACCATTTGGTGTTGGTCAAGGTCAACATTACTGTGGCCAGCACTCTTGGTAGGTTGAATTGGGCAATGGTGGCTGCTGAGATGGACTCTACACCTTCCCTTTGATGCTAGTCACTGGTAATTGTGCAGATACCTCTGAATTTTTAAAATATGGGATAAAATGTAAGACTTTCTTTCCTTCCTTCCCAGAACATCCTCTAAGGCTGAGATTATGTAGGTTCCAGCTTGAGTTCTACAAAATTAATTTTCCTCTCTGTTTTAATGCTTGAAAGGTTGGCCCAAGCATCCATGAAGGAACCAGGGGCAGGAAGAATAAGCTAGATGACGAGGCTGATAACATTTATAGTGGTTAACACTTACTGAGCACTTACCATGGTCCAGTAAGAGTGCTCTATGTCTACAGACATTATCTCAGTTTCTCCTCCCAACTATCCCAATATCATTATATCCATTACAAAGATAAAATCTGAGGCCCAGAGACTCTGTCCAAGATCACTCAGTAAGCAACAGAGCAGGGATTCAAACCTAGATCTTGCTGAAAATAAAACTGGGACTCTTGAACTTGATATTGTATTTTTTCACAAGGTGTGCTCAGGCTGTCAGTGCTCAGATCCTCTCACCTCTACAGATGCTGCTTCCCTCCCCTGGGCCCAGACCCAGCACCTACTCATAAAGTGTTGCTTGGGACTCCCAGGCACCAGCTGTGGTGTCAGGTGAATTGACAGCAGGAGCTGGAGAATCAGCACAGGCTTCATGCTGCCTGCAGGACGGATGGGTAAGTCCTGGCCCAAGACTGCTGGGTTTGACCGGTTTAGAGAAGAGAGGGAAGGTGGGCAAAGTGAAGGCAAGCTGTGACTGGCCTTTCGTTGTGTATTCCAATTGGGAGGGCTTGGCAGAAATCCAAATACCTCCCAACTACGCCCACTCCAGGGCCAGGTATTATTTTCACATCTATACCCCTTTCATCCCCCTAATCTTGACCTTGTTCTGTCTCTCATCTATCTAGGTCTTATTCATGTCCTTTCACAAAATTTTTATAATTTTTCTCATGTAGGGTTCCGTCATGTCTTTGTTCTATTTATTCCTAGAGGCTTGAATTTTTAAAATGAAATTATAAATAGTATCATAATTTTTAGTTCTTTCTTTTCGTTTGTTGCTAGTGTAGTGAAATGACTTTTGCATATTGATCTGTAACTGGTTACCTTGCTAAATTCTCCCATTGTTTATCATAATTTCTTGGTGTGTTCTTTTCAGTGCAGTCAGTCATCATCTGTAAATAATAACAGTTGATTTTTCCTCTTCAAACTTTACACCATTTTTAATGCCTCGTTGCACAGGCCAGGACCTCCATATGTTATTGCATAGAAGTGGTGAAAGTGTATATTCTTGTCTGATATCTGATTTAAAATGAAAGCTTCTTAAGTTTCCCCTTTTAGGATAGTGTCTGTTTTAGCTTTCTCGTAAACGTCTTTTATCAGGTTTAGAAAGATCTCTTGTTCCTGACATAACAAGAAAATTTTCATTAATTTATGTGAAATTGTATCTATTGTTTTTTTCTGTTTATTGAGATGATAGCATTATTCTTCTCCTTTAATCTCTTGACAGATTGAAGTACATTTCAGATGTTCTAACATTAAACCTTTCTTGCATTTCTCCAGTAATCTAAAATGATCATTGTATCTTATCGTTTTTATGTCATTTGGTTCAGTTTGCTATTTTTAGGGAATTTTACATCTATGTTCAGAAGGGAACTAGGCTTGTAATCTTCTTTCTTATACCATCCTAGCCGGGTTTTGTAGCAAGTTGACACTGACCTCATAGAATGTGCTGAGTACCAGCCCTTCTTTATCAATGCTTTGGAAAGTTTTGTGTAAGATAAAGATAATCAGCTACTTGAATCCTTAGTTCCCCTGTTTTCTGGCACAAATATACTCATTTGCACCTTGTCATTTTCATTGAACAATATATCTTGAAAATTAGTCTAAGGTGGTTCATAGTGACTTCCCCTTTCTTACAGCTGCATTCCATACCACCATGTGCACACACCTTAGTCATAGAGCCAATCTCCCATATATGGGCATTTATGTATTTTCCAAGATTTTGCTGTTACAAATATGCTGTGATGAACAATCATGTGCATATTTTCTGTATTGTTGGAGGTATAACATCAGGGTAAATTTCTAAAAGAATAATTGTTGGTTAAAAGGGTAAATTCATATGTAGTTTTGTTAGATATTGCCAAATTCTACTTCATAAAGGTTGTACCATTTTGTACTGCCACATACCATGTGAGCATGCATGTTTCCCATAACAGAATGTGTTGTCATGCTTTTGAATTTTTGCCAAAATGATAAGTGAGAATGTTATCTCTATAGTTGATGAGATTCATTCACATTGTAGTATGTATCAGTACTTTATTTTTATATCTGAATAATATTCTATTGTACATATATCCACAATTTGCTTATACATTAATCATCTGTTGATGGATATTTGGGCTCTTTCCACCTTTCAGTGCTTGCAAATAATGCAGTATAAACATTTGTGTGCAAGTATTTTTTTTTAGTACCTATTTTCAATTCTTTTGAGTGTATACCTAGGAGTGGAATTGATGGATTATATGTTTAACTTTACGTGTTTAGCTTTTCCAGGAAACTGCAAACTGTTTCCACGGCGGTTGAACCTTTAACATTTTTATCACTAATGCCTGATGATCATGTGATTTTTTTTCCTTCATTCTATTAACGAGTTATATTATGTTCTGATACATACATATTTCCGTATGTTGAACCAGTCTTGAATTTCTGGTATAAATCCCAGTTTGTAATGGTGTATACTTGTTTTAAAATTGTGTTGGATTTAGTTTGCTGGTATTTTTGGAGAATTTTTGCATTTATATTCATAAGAGATATTGGTCTATAGTTTTCTTTTCTTGTGGTGTCTTTGTCTGGCTTGGCATCAGGATAATGCTGGTCTCGTAGAATGACTCAGGAAGTGTTCCCTTCTCTCCTGTTTTTTTTGGAATTAAAAAATGTGAACAATATGTTTATTTTATATAACTTTTTGTGTATGCATAGAAACCATATAAGTAAAAAACATGAGATTACATGGGTGATTATAATACAAAAGTGGGGAAAGGACATCTAGTCTTGGGCTTTTCTTTGTTGGGAGGTGTTTTTTTTTTTTTTTTTATTACTGATCCAATCTCTTCACATGTTATAGACATGCTCATTTTTTATATTTCTTCTTGAGTTAGTTTTGGTAATTTGTATGTTTCTAGGAAATTTGTCCATTTCATCTAGGTTATCAAATTTGTTGGTATAAAATTATTCCTAGTATCTCTTATAATCCTTTTTATTTCTGGAAAGTTGGTAGTGATGTTTCCACTCTCATTTCTGATTTTAGTTATTTTTGTCTTCTCTTTTTTTTTTCAGTCAATCTAGCTAAAGGCTTTAAATTTTACTGATCTTTTCAAAGAACCAAGCTTATTTTCATTGTTTCTTTTTTTTTGGTTTTCTATTCCCTATTTTGTTGATCTCTGCTCTAATATTGTTATTTCCTTCCTTCTATTAGCTTTGAGTTTAGTTCTTCTCTTTTTAGTTCCTTAGGGTATAAAGTTAGGCTGTTGATTTGAGACTTTCTTTTTTTTAATTGAGATCTAATTGACATATAACATTATATTAGTTTCAGTTGTACAACATAATGATTTGATATTTGTATATATTGTGAAATGATCACCACAATAAGTCTAGGCAACATCCATCACCATACGTAGTCACAAATTTTTTTTCTTGTGATGAGAACTTTTAGGATCTACTCTCTTAGCAACTTTCAAATATACAATATAGTATTATTAACTATAGTCACCATGCTGTACATTACATCCCATGATTTATTTTACAACTGGAAGTTTGTACCTTTTGACCCCCTTCACCCACTTCTCTCAACCCTCACCCCCAACTTGTCACAACCACCAATCTGTTCTCTGTATCTATGAGCTTGGTTTTTTGTTTTGGGGTTTTTTTAGATTCCACATATAAGTGAGATCATACTGTATTTGTCTTTTTCTGTCTGATTTATTTCACTTAGCATAATGCCCTCAAGGTCCACCCATGTTGTCACAAATGGCAAGATTTTCTTATTTTTTTATGGCTGAATAATATTCTACTATATACCACATTTGCTTATCCCTTCATCCATTGATGGACACTTAGGTTGCTTCCATGTCTTGGCTATTGTTGATGAGGCTGCTTTGAATATGGGGGTGCAGATATCTTTTCAAGTTAGTGTTTTCATTTTCTTTGGATAAATATCCAGGGACCTTTCTTCTTTTCTAATGTAAGCATTTACAGCTATAAATTCCCCCCTGAGTATTGCTTTCACTGCATCCTATAAGTTTTGGTATGTTGTGTTTTCATTTTCATTCATCTTAAAGTATTTTCTAATTTCTGTTGTAATTTCTTTTTTGACCCATTGGTTGTTTATGAGTGTGTTGTTTAGCTTCCACATATTTTGTGAATTTTCCAGTTTTCCTTCTGTTATTGATTTCTAGCTTAATTTCATTGTGGCTGGAGAATATAGTTTGTATGATTTCAATCTTTTTTTTTTTTAAGGTTTTACTTTTTATTTTTTTGTGAGGAAGATCAGCCCTGAGCTAATATCCATGCTAATGCTCCTCTTTTTGCTGAGGAAGACCGGCTCTGAGCTAACGTCTATTGCCAATATTCCTCCTTTTTTCCCCCCCAAAGCCCCGGTAGATAGCTGTATGTCATAGTTGCATATCCTGCTAGTCGCTGTGTGTGGGATGCGGCCTCAGCATGGCCGGAGAAGCGGTGCATTGGTGCGTACCCAGGATCCGAACCCAGGCTGCCAGTAGTGGAGCATGCGCACTTAGCCGCTAAGCCACGGGGCTGGCCCTGATTTCAATCTTTTAAAATTTATTTAGGCTTGTTTTGTGGCCTAAAGCAATAATTTATTTTGGAGAATTATTTTTCCTGGGGAATGTTCCATATGTAGTTGCGAAGACTATGTACTCTGTGGTTGTTGAGTGTTCTATATGTCTTTTAGGTCTATTTGGTGGAAGCATCCCCTCTGGAGACCAGAACTTCTTGATAGACCCTAACATTGCAGGCAGAGGAAGGACAAATTTCTGGGGATGATGTGGAGTGTGGCTACTTGTAGTTCCTTGGGTTCTGGACTCATGTATTCTGTCTGTGGGAGACATTGCAGCATACAATAGCCTTTGGTTCAAAGTATATTTCCAAACCAGAAGGAAAGTACTCCATCTTTGTGGGATGTCATCTCCAGTCTGGCAATTTATATACTTCTTCAGTAGGCCAATCCACAACTCTGTCAGGCTGACAGATTCTGGGTGATATCGTATAGTGTAGAACCATGGGGATCTTGTGATTAAGGACCTGTTATTGACCTCTTCTGATGTAAAATTTGTCAATTGGCCTGAAGCAATATTACATGGAACCCTATAACAGTACATCAGATACTCTTTGAGCCATGACATAGTGGTGCTGGTTGAGGCATTGCAGACAGAGAAGTCAAATCATGCTCCCAGAATATGTGTTTATCCCAGTCAAGGTGAGTCACTCCCCGTCTGAGGAGGAATGGGACTGATGTCTAAATTGCGTCAAGTGGCTGATTCACTTACTGAGGACTGGTGCTATATTAAGGGCTCAGTGTTGGTCTGTGCTGCTGCTAGGTGATATATTCAGCACAGCAGTAGCTACATGAACTTTGGTAGCTGTGAGCTCACACTGATGAGCCTATGCATAGCCTATATCTGTGTTATCATGGCTACTCTATTCAGGGGTCCATTGTGAAAGTATTGATGTGGCTAAAGACACAATCTGGAGTACATTAAATGGCCAAGACAACCAGTATACCCAGATGTATCATGCCTCTTCTGCAGTGATGACACTTTATGCATACTCCCCTTCATCCACCCACATACCTTCCTCAAAGCTTTTGTCTCCAAGTTTCCCGGCTTGTTGTTTCTTTCACTCCTTTGGCTAACCTGCCAAGAATTCACCACTATTCAGGGGGCCATAGATATTCCTGTCTCAGGTCCCTTCTCTCTACTCAAACTGCAGGTACATCACCTGAACTTCTGTCCACAGGGAGAATTTCCTCTCCCCTTTGCCTTTCAGGCAACACATCAGCAGGATTGTTGTGTGGAAATAGTGCATTTTCAGCTTACACTCTCATAGAGTCCCAACCCCTCTATGAACCAAACTTTCTTATTTTTTCTGCTGTATCAACCAATAGTTAGACAACAGCTCCTGAGACCCCAGGTATGAGCTGATGGAGAAGTATAGACATAACAGTGTTAGGTGACACAGGGGTCTAGACCACCTGTTTGTGTATCTTTCTTGTACTCTATGGATCTACTTAGCCCCATCCCAGCTGTACCACTTATAACATACAATAGATTGCTCCTGGTCGTATCTGAACTTGTATTGTTGGATGTGATAGCACCCAGCTAATGATGAGCATGTTTGATAACAGCTACTTGATGTCGTCATCTCAGATACTCAGTCTTTTAAGGACCAGATAACATTCTAGAAGCTATTTTATTAATGATTTATAGTTTTCTCCTACAGGAGGCTTTCCCTAACATTAATGATAAAAGAACTAATGTGTGCTGAGCACTAACTTTGTTTCCTATGCTGTGCTGGAATATAAAGGTTGACTTCTGCTCTCCTTTAAGGTTTTACATTAAAGGGTCATTCCTCCAGGAATCCTTTACTTATTCCTCCCAGTCGGGGTCAGTAGACCCTCTGCTGGGCTCCAGTAGTACCATATTTCCCCCTCTGTAGTCCTGGTCACATTGCATTACACTTACTTAATCTTCTTTTTCTCCTGCTAGATTGTGAATCCCGTAGAGATAGGAACATATTTGACTTATACTACAGTACATAGCGCTGAATTCAGTGCCTTGCATGTAGAAATTAAAAAAAAATTCATAAACACTCTCATCTGAGCCTTTTATTACTCTTGTGAGTCACACAGAGACATGAATCATTCAAGAGTAAGAAGACGTTTGTTGCAGAGTTGAGTCAGCAATCTAGTTGTCTTACTTTTGCACCAAGAAAAGTCCCTTACTAAGTCAGATTCTGGGGCCAGTGCTAATGGCTAGGCAAGGAATAGGAGCTTCACTTAGGCTGGATCTCCAGTGCCATAGATTAGTGGATCCAAAACATGGATGTTGCAAAAGAGAAAAAGTTTGTTTCTGCTTAAAATATGTGTTACTAGTTAGGATAGATTAAATGGCATTAACAAAGAGCCTCCATTATATAATGGCTGGAATGCAATAGAAGTTTTATTTGCTGCTCACACAATAATTTAAGATGGCTATTCTAGAACACTGGGTGACTCTCTTCCACGTGGTGATTCAGGGACCCAGGCTTCTTCCACCTTTTCGCTTCACCATGCTGTCATCTATACTAAGCTGCTGGAGGGAAAAGAGAGTGTGAAGGAGGCTTAGCAGCTTCTTAAGACCTTGACCAAGAAGTAATAAATAACTTTGGCCATCAACCTGTTGGCTGGAATATCTATGTTGCCACACTAGCTACAGGGTGGTCAGATCAAGAAAATGCAGCTCGTATTTGAGCAGCTATTTCCCATCTATAACTCTTCTTTGATAGGGCCAGTATGACCCTTTAATGGAATCACTCACCAAATAGTTACCTTTTATGAGTGGATAAAAAGATGAACTGGGAGAGCAAGAAAATTTTGGATAGGTCAAACAGCACTCTGCAAACTATAGATACGAGTATCAGAGATTTTGAAAATAAAATACCCCTGTGTACTGAAGGAGCCTGCATTAGGAGTTCTGAATATCAGAATATGGTTCAAATCTTCACAACCATCTTCTTCCCAGCTTCTATGCCTATTGGGAGTCCGGTGCCTTCAGGTCCCTCCTCTTTCTCCTGTTAGGGGAGAATAAACTTCTTCACTCTGAGAGCCTACAATATTCCTCCACAATATTTCTGGTCAATGACCACCTCCTCCTGGAGAACCTGCCCTGAGCCCTTGGCTGGCAGATCCCTTCCTCTGTCTGAGCTCTAAGAAACTTACTGTGGGCCCCCATTCTTCCCAGGTCCTCCCCTAGCATATCTCTCTCTCTGATATATTAATTAATAATGTATTAATTATGTAATTATTATATATTAATAATCAATATATTATTATGAATACTAGAACTAATTATATTA